AGGAAGTGACGACGGTCAAGTGCAGTGCCTCCTTATGTACTAAAAGTTTCGTTATCAGTGTGCTGTATCCGCACTGCCCTTGAGGGATCGTCAAGACTGTAGGAAGCAATTCTATATGTGAAGTTTTACCTTACAGCAAAGTGAGTGTTGCTTTTTCGATATACGGACTACAATATACGTCGCCGGTGCTGGAGGAGTTAAACCACCGCCATAAAGTCAGTATCATGGCCTTCACCTGCCTCAGAGCTTCGTCTGCCGATTACATAATGATAGCATAATTGCGCTCATTATTCGTAACTTGAGCTTCCTCCTCCCTCACCACCATCTTGTACTTCTCCTGCTTCCTAACTTGTGTAATGACCAGCTTGATGACTTAGATGACTATGTTCTATATTTGCTTTCTTTTCTTTGCACACACTAAAGAAGGCAAACAAACACACACACACACACACACACACACACACACACACACATCTCACAGAACAAAACAAGCACACACACACACACACACACACGCACGTACAGTACAATAAGATTCCTCAGAAACGTCAATATGACCTGTCAAGCATTTTTCTTTCGATTGAAGGAACTACAGAGACTTTCACCAACAGTCTCACCAGTATTCATAATTTACTCAGGTACTATAGATCGACTTACTAAGACATTAAACTGCCGTAATTCAACATAATGTGTCCTTTACAGCCAATTTTATGCCCCTTGAAGGTGTTATATCTCTTCACTTCACTGTATTATTTTCCATTAGTTAACTTAATGGTTATCTCAAGGGTTCAAAGTAGAGATGAATAAACATGAATAAACAAACAAACACGAGTCGAAAGACAGAGGGAGAGAGCATTGTGCCAACTATGAACCCTCTCTAATTACTTGTTAACAATTCTACTGGCACCTGCGCGCTATTAAGCCTCTTTGAGCGCGAGTACACCTGAATCATGCAAATTGACTCGTAATTTGCATCAATTTCTGTCTGAGGAGGCGTCAGCTGTGTGTCACCTGTAGTTATGTATTGTATTTATAAGTGCCACACCTGTTCGACCTGTACTTTAGTGTTGAGACCATAACCTGTACAACTTGCACCTATGAGTTATGTCTTCCAAGTGCCACATCTGATCGTCTTGTAATTGACCCATCGTAGAGCAGTTAAGAGGCTATTAGCGGGGAAGAGACCCTGCATTATACACAAAGCTGACTCTTCAAACTTTCAGAAATATTCTAATCTACAGTATTCAACCAATCACAGAGAGTGTTATGTTATTTGTTGGTAATTTTATCTAAAACACTACAGAGACACACACAAATGTTCGGCTTGTTTAATAACTTTTGAATGTAAACACACACGCACACCTACTCTCTTTTTCTGATTACACACACACACAGACATATATATATATATATATATATATATATATATATATATATATATATATATATATATATATATATATATATATATATATATATATATATATATATATATATATATATATATATATTTATTTATTGTGACGACTCTGTCCCCTCCTCACTGTACCACCATAAACCATCACTTGCTCCAACTTGACACCAGGAGAAGAAACTGCTTCACGAAGCTACTCGACCCCAGTGAGCACCGAGGTATCGAGGCAAGTGTGTCTGCCTGGTAAGCTCAGTCTCTTTTCTGCAGCCTACGGTGTTTCTCTTCTCCTGGGGTGTCGACGAAGAATTGTATTAAGTACTATTGCTGAGAAGGTTTGATGGTCGTGGACTACGGCAACTTAGACATGCTACCTGAGCTGCCATTTCTATCAGGTTTTTGTGTTGCTGTTTATAATATGTTTATTTAATGTTTAAAGTACGATTAATCAGGTAAATATTCTGGTGTGTTTTGATAATTGTATATTTATGTTTTACTTGTGTTGTGTGATGTACCTTATTTACTATATTAATCACTAAATATAAATGTTATAAAATGACTCAGTTTACTTAATGATCTTCTTATCACTTTCATAACTCAAATTTGTCTGTCACAAACAGTGAGCCTTGTGTGTGCTCCTTACTTGCTGCATCCACGTATTTCAACCCCTAGATTATTCACTCTGTATTTTTACTTGTCAACTTTGCCTTTTACTCAATGTTGTGGGTAGCAAGGAGGGACATCACAATATATATATATATATATATATATATATATATATATATATATATATATATATATATATATATATATATATATATATATATATATATATATATATATATATATATATATGACTCAGGTAATATCCTCAGATCATCAGTCTACCTGCCAACAGCTTTAATTAAAGTCAACGGGTGTGTTGAACTGATAATCACTAGAAATTAAACACAAATGAAGATATATTATTCATTTCAATGGCTTTTCCTTATTCCATGAGGAGTAACGATACAATTATAGGATTTATGTTATGCCATATTATATTATGGTATGATATGACGTGCGCGCGCTCGAACACACACACACACACACACACACACACACAAACACACACACACACACACAAACACAGGCAAAAAAGAAAAATATCAGTTTGTGATGAAACTCAGCTAGCGCCACTAACTCAACATCACGCTATCAGCTTAAGACATTCTGATGCCATTACCGTCAGATACACCCAACAGATTGTTGTAACTCACTGCAGGTTCTCCTGATACGTTCACACATCCACCAGCTGGTACTTGTGACATCTTCACATCCACCAGCTGGTGCTTGTGACATCTTCACATCCACCAGACAAGACCCCAAACATGACCCCACATCCACCAGGTCCATCAACACCCAGATGGGAAGGAATATATTTCATGCTGTTTCTCTCAACACCTTACATGAGGAGGGCCCGTATGAGCGTCTCCCAGTGACCCTCATACTAAAACTCGAAGGGATGGGAAAGCAGTGAACCTGACTTTAAAAACCTGATAGTCACTTGACAGAGAATTGAGGGTAACAAGAATTCCTATGTACTCGTATCTGTATTTTATTCTTCGAGTAAACAAATAATGCGGAATTACGTATTATTATGCACCATTGCCAAGTCTATTCCCTGAGGCGTCCCCTTGTTATAAACCCAATACAATATGATAAGAAAGATAATTGAACTGAAATACGAAGCAACAATTAAAATAAACATGAAAATCACTAACAAAAACACGACACCTAACAGTTCAGGCAAGAGAGGCTGGCACCCATCTGACTAAACACAGATACTAACAGGACTTAGGAGCGTGTGTGGTAGGGCAGTGTAGTATGGCAGGTCAGTGTAGTGTGGTATGGCAGAGCAGTGTGGCAGGTCAGTGATGTGTGGTATGCCAGTGTAGTGTGGCAGGTCAGTATAGTGTGGTTGATCAGTGTATTGTGGTAGTGTGATAATCTAGTGTAGTATGGCAGGTCAGAGTAGTGTGGGAGGGCAGTGTAATGTAGTAAGCCAGTGTAGTTTGGCAGATCAGTGTAGTGTGAAAGGCCAGTGTAGCGTGGTAGGACAGTATAGTGTGGCAGGGCAGTTTAGTGTGGTAGGTCAGTGTAGTGTGGTAGGTCAGTGTAGTGTGGTAGGTCAGTGTAGTGTGGTAGGGCAGTGTAGTGTGATAGGCCAGGATGGTGTGGTAGGGCTGTGTAGTGTGGCAGGTCAGTGTAGTGTAACAGGCCGGTGTTGTATGGTAGATGGTGTGGTAGGGCAGTAGTGTGTGTGTAGTGTGGCAGGTCAGTGTAGTGTAACAGGCCGGTGTTGTATGGTAGGGCAGTGTAGTGTGGCAGGTCAATGTAACGTGATAGGTCAGTGTAGTGTGGCAGGTCAGTGTAGTGTGACAAGCTAGTGTTGTGTGATAGGGCAATATTGTGTGGCAGGTCAGTGTAGTGTGGCAGGTCAGTGTAGTGTGACAAGCTAGTGTTGTGTGATAGGGCAATATTGTGTGGCAGGTCAGTGTAGTGTGGCAGGTCAGTGTAGTGTGGCAGGTCAGTGTAGTGAGGCAGGTCAGTGTAGTGTGGCAGGTCTTTGTAGTGTTATGAAGCAGGTCATTACCGACTTATTAATACCTAGGCCGCTAATTACTCTCATCCTTCATTATAAACACCGTCATCTACAGCCCAGCTCGACCTACTCTGATCTATAATCTCTGAATATTAATAACCGGATTAAATCGATTATCTGAAGCCAGATTTAATTGCTTATAAGCAACTCCAATCTATAATACTCGATGGATATTAGGATTTGGGAGGTTTGTGTTAATTATAAATAATCTTATGACATTTTGAATTATTTATACTAGATATTTATAGTACGTGATTATTGTGGCTCATTGCATAATATGATTATACAGATTATCTGAAGGTATCTATAATTACACCAATGCATCTTCAACGTCTTTGTACTCGCGGGAAATTATAAAATAAAATTCTACGTTATCATTAGACACTCACAATAGGTTCTGCCAGTTTATGATCTACGACCTATGCCAGTTTATGATCTACGACCTATTGTATGTGTCCGTAATACATGAGCTGTTGTATGAGAGTATTAAATATCCTGGGAGATTTATAAGGACAGTGTGTCAACCCTCAGCAATGGTAATGTTATATCACCACCTTTGTGATACCGTCACCAGTAGGAGGAATTATTGTGTCGGCTTCCTATGTCTCTATGTCTGTACAGATATTTATGTTTCCCATTACATCTCTCAAACTGTCTCTCTCTCAGCAGGGTAATGGATAGGTTGTTTGTGTGGGATAGATTAGAACCATTGAAATCAGTCTCTCTCTCTCAAAGGGTTTCAGATTTTTCTTGTTAACATAATTGCTACAGAAAATAACTAGATTTTTGTTTAATTCTTGTCAAAATCAATACAAAGAATACACCTCATTAATATAATGACATAACGGTGTTAGAATAATGAGACCTTTTAAAAACTCGAAGGGAAATCCTAACCTGGCATCAAACTTTCATCACCTTACAGACAGAACCAGTGGGGTAACTCACTTGTTGATGCCGTCAAAGTCTGCCCCGACACCAACATGGTCCAGCCCCGCCACGTCCCGGATGTGGTTAATGTGACCTGAGGGAGAGAAGTGTGAGTTAATGTATAGCTGTAATGTTAACTTGAAGGGGACGACGGTAATAACATTAGGTAAATGTTAAATACAATAATTATGAACCTATCCAAGAACAACAAGAATTAGGTTGATGTTAATTGCTAATATTCTAACCTAGGCAAGAACCAGGAGAACTAGGCTAATGTTAAAAACTATAATTTTAATCTGGATAAGAACCACAAGAACTAAGCTAATGTTAAAATATTATATTGCGTCCTCATGATCACGGTGGACTGCTGTTTCCTATGAGAATTAATCGATTATAGTCTTCCGGGTATACAGTTAAGTCAGTGCTGCTAGAGAATTGTCCGATATACCAGGACACTGAATTGCACTGCTCGAGAGCTATTAGCATGGTAATTACAGTGCCACAGTTTTAGAGCAATTAACCCAGGGGAACCTTAGTGCCAGCCATCAACTATTATGAGTGGATTATTATCTTCGGCTTTTACATTATTATTATTATTATTATTATTATTATTATTATTATTATTATTATTATTATTATTATTATTATTATTATTATTATTATTATTATTATTATTATTATTATTATTATTATTATTATTATTATTATTATTATTATTATTAATGATACTGTTATTACTACTATTATTACAGTTATTGTTATTATTATTACTACTATTATGGTTGTTCTTAGTGTTGTAATGTAACCTTGGGATACAACCAAGCCAAAGATTGAAGTTGGTTGCTTTCTAATGCACCAAGCTATCTCTTCTCTCCCTCACTGCCTTTACTCTCCCTCACTACCTTTACTCTCCCTCACTACCCTTTACTCTCCCTCACTACCTTTACTCTCCCTCACTACCTTTACTCTCCCTCACTACCCTTTACTCTCCCTCACTACCTTTACTCTCCCTCACTACCTTTACTCTCCCTCACTACTCTACTCTCCCTCACTGCCTTGTACTCTCCCTCACTCACCTTTACTCTCCTCACTGCCTTTACTCTCCTACCACCTTTACTCTCCCTCACTGCCTTTACTCTCCCTCACTGCCTTACTCTCCCTCCTGCCTTACTCTCCCTCACTACCTTCTCTCCCTCACTACCTTACCTTCCCTCACTACCTTCTCTCCTCCTGCCTTACTTTCCCTACTACCTTCTCCTCCTACCTTCACTCTCCTCACTACCTTCTCTCCCTCACTACCTTTACTCTCCCTCACTACCTTTACTCTCCCTCACTACCTTTACTCTCCCTCACTGCTTTTACTCTCCTCACTACCTTCTCTCCTCACTGCCTTCCTCCCTCACTACCTTTACTCTCCTCACTACTTTTACTCTCCTCACTACCTTTACTCTCCCTCACTACCTTTCCTCTCCCCTCACTACCTTTACTCTCCTCACTACCTTCTCTCCCTCACTACCTTCTCTCCCCTCACTGCCTTTATTCTCCTTACAAACTTTACTCTCCCTCACTCTACTCTCCCTCACTACCTTTACTCTCCTCACTACCTTTACTCTCCTCACTGCCTTCTCTCCCTCACTCCCTTACTCTCCTTACTACCTTTACTCTCCTCACTACCTTTACTCTCCCTCCTGCCTTTACTCTCCCTCACTACCTACTTACTCTCCCTCACTACCTTTACTCCCCCTCACTACACTCTCCTCACTACCTTTACTCTCCCCTCACTACCTTTACTCTCCCTCCTACCTTTACTCTCCCTCACTGCCTTTCTCTCCCTCACTACCTTCTCTCCCTCCTGCCTTTAATTCTCCCTTACAAACTTCTCTCCCTCACTACCTTCTCTCCCCTCACTGCCTTACTCTCCTCTACCTTTACTCTCCCTCACTGCCTTTAATTCTTCCTTACAAACTTTACTCTCCCTCACTACCTTTTCTCTCCCTCACTGCCCTTCTCTCTCCTCACTACCTTTACTCTCCCTCACTGCCTTTAATTCTCCCTTACAAACTTTATCTCCCCTCACTACCTTTACTCTCCCTCACTACTTTTACTCTCCCTTACACTTTACTCTCCCTCACTACCTTTACTCTCCCTCACTGCCTTTACTCTCCCTCACTACTTTTCTCTCCCTCACCTCTTTACTCTCCTCACTACCTTCTCTCCTCACTACCTTTACTCTCCCTCACTACCTTTACTCTCCTCCTACCTACTCTCCCTCCTGCCTTTAATTCTCCTTACAACTTTACTCTCCTCACTACCTTCTCTCCTCACTACCTTTCTCTCCCTCACTACCTTTACTCTCCCTCACTACCTTCTCTCCTCCCTCACTACCTTTACTCTCCCTCACTACCCTACTCTCCCTCACTACTTTTACTCTCCCTCCTCCTTTCTCTCCTCCTACCTTCTCTCCCTCACTACCTTTACTCTCCCTCACTACTTTTACTCTCCCTCACTACCTTTACTCTCCTCACTACCTTTACTCTCCTCACTGCCTTACTCTCCCTCACTACCTTCTCTCCCCTCACTACCTTTACTCTCCCTCCCCTTTAATTCTCCCTTACAACTTTACTCTCCTCACTACCTTCTCCCTGCTACTCTCCCCTCCCCACTCTTTCTCTCCCTCACTGCCTTTATTCTCCTACAACTTTACTCTCCCTCACTACCTTCTCTCCTTCCTCCTTACCTCCTCACACCCCTCTCTCCTCACTACCTTTACTCTCCTCACTACCTTTCTCTCCTCACTGCCTTACTCTCCCTCACTACTTTACCTCCCTCACACCTTTACTCTCCTCTCCTGCCTTACTCTCCCTCACTACTTTACTCTCCACTACCTTCTCTCCCTCTACCTTTACTCTCCTCCTCTTTACTCTCCCTCACTACCTTTACTCTCCCTCACTACCTTTACTCTCCCTCCTGCCTTTACTCTCCCTCCTGCCTTTACTCTCCCTCACTACCCTTCTCTCCCTCACTGCCTTACTCTCCCTCACTACCTTCTCTCCCTCACTGCCTTCTCTCCCTCTTCACCTTCTCTCCCTCACTACCTTTCTCTCCCTCCCACTACCTTCTCTCCCTCACTACTTTACTCTCCTCACTTACTCTCCCTCTCTCTCCCCCCCCCCCCTCCCCCCCCCCCTCCCTCACCCTCCTCCCCTCTCTCCTCTACCTTTACTCTCCTCACTACTTTTCTCTCCTCCTACCTTCTCTCCCTCCTACTTTACTCTCCCTCAATACCTTTACTCTTCCTCACACCTTTACTCTCCCTCACTACTCTCTCCTCACTACCTTTTCTCTCCTCACTACCTTTACTCTCCCTCACTACTTCCTCCTTACTAACTTTACTCTCCCTCACTACCTTTACTCTTCCTCACTCACTCTCCCTCACTACCTTTCTCCTCACTACCTTTACTCTCCCTCACTACACTTTACTCTCCCTCACTACCTTTACTCTCCCTCCACTACACTACTCTCCCTCATTACCTTCTCTCCTCACTGCCTTTACTCTTCCTCACTGCCTTACTCTCCCTCACTACCTTCTCTCCCTCCTACCTTCTCCTCCCTCACTGCCTTCTCTCCCCTCACTACCTTTACTCTCCCTCACTACCTTTACTCTCCTCACTACCTTTACTCTCCTCACTGCCTTACTCTCCATCACTATTCTATTCTCCTTACAAACTCTCTCCCTCACTGCCTTTACTCTCCCTCCTGCCTTTACTCTCCCTCACTACCTTCTCTCCCCCTCCTACTCTCCCTCCACTACCTTCTCTCCCTCACTACCTTTACTCCTCCCTTTACCTTCTCTCCCTCACTACCTTTACTCTCCTTACTACCTTCTCCCTCCTACCTTCCTCACTGCCTTTATTCCCCCACAACTTTACTCTCCTCACTACCTACTCTCCCCTCACTGCCTTACTCTCCCTCACACTCCTCCCTCACCACTCTCCTCACACCTTACTCTCCCTCACTGCCTTTACTCCCTCACTACCTTTACTCTCCCTCCTACCTTTACTCTCCTTCACTGCCTTTAATTCTCCCTACAAACTTTCTCTCCCTCACTACCTTTACTCTCCCCTCACTACCTTTACTCTCCTTACTACCTTTACTCTCCCTCACTACCTTCTCTCCTCACTGCCCTTCTCCCTCACTACCTTTACTCTCCCTCACTGCCTTTAATTCTCCCTTACAACTTACTCTCCCTCACTGCCTTTAATTCTCCCTTACAAACTTTACTCTCCCTCACTACTTCTACTCTCCCTTCCTTCTAAACTCTCCCTGGATGCTGTTCCTACCCCTACTTGTTATTGCCTCCATCTCCCTTAAGTTATCTCATCTAACTTTTTAATTTAATCTCATCCAATTTCTTCTTCTTCTTCTTCTTCTTCTTCTTCTTGTTTTCTTCTTGTTCTTCTTGTTCTTCTTGTTCTTCTTGTTCTTATTTTTTGTTCTTGTTCTTCTTGTTCTTCTTCTTCTTCCTCTCCCATTTGTAATATTGTTTTAACTAAAGGGGGTAAATTCTCCTCTCTCCTACACCCCCTTCTCCCCAATACTCCCTTTACTCCATCACCAACCCCCCCCAATACTTCTTTCTTCCATCACCAACACTCCTCTTCTCCCCAATCTCCTTCCTCCATCCACCCCCTTCTCCAATAGTCCTTTTCCATCAAACAACCCCCCATCTTCTCTTCTTCCATCACCAACCTCAATTCTCCTCCCAATAATTCCCTTCCTCCATCACCAACACCCCCTTTCTCCCCAATACTCCTTTCTCCATCACCAACCTCCTCCAATACTCCCTCCATCACCAACACTCCCTTTTCCTTCACCAATTCATCTTTTTCCCTCACCAACTCTCCTTCCTCTCCCCTCACCACTGTTCCTCTCCTCCCCTTCACCACTGTTCCTCTCCTCCCCCTCACCACTGTTCCTCTCCTCCTCACCACTGTTCCTCTCCTCCCCCTCACCACTGTTCCTCTCCTCCCTCACACTGTTTCTCCTTCCCTCACCACTGTTCCTCTCCTCCCCTTCACCACTGTTCCTCTCCTCCCCCTCACCACTGTTCCTCTCCTCCTCACCACTGTTCCTCCTCCCCTCACCACTGTTTCTTCCCCCCCCCTCTCCTCCCCCTCACCACTGTTCCTCTCCTCCTTCTCTCCTCCCCTTCACCACTGTTCCTCTCTCCTCCCCACTGTTTCTCTCCTCTCACCACTGTTCCCTCTCTCCTCCCCTCACCACTCTCTCCTCCCCTCACCACTGTTCCTCTCCCTCACCTGTTCCCCTGTGTTCCTCTCCTCCCCTCACCACTGTTCCTCTCCTCCCCTCACCACTGTTTCTCCTCCTTCCCTCACCACTGTCCCTCTCCTCCCCTCACCACTGTTTCTCTCCTTCCTCACCACTCCCTCTCCTCCCCTCACCACTGTTCCTCTCCTCCCTTCACTGTTCCTCTCCTCCCTTCACCACTGTTCCTCCTCCTCCCTTCACCCACTGTTCCCTCCTCCTCCCCTCACACCACTGTTCCTCTCCTCCCCTCACCCACTGTTCTCTCCTCCCCCTCACCACCTGTCCCTCTCCTCCCCTCACCACTGTTTCTCTCCTTCCCTCACCACTGTCCCTCTCCTCCCCTCACCACTGTTCACTCTCTCCTCCTCTGTTCCTCTCCTCCCCTTCACCACTGTTCCTCTCCTCCCCCTTCACCACTGTTCCTCCCTCCCCTCTTCCCCCTCACCACTGTCTCTCCCCTCACCACTGTCCCTCTCCTCCCCTCACCACTGTCCTCTCCTCCCTCCCACTGTTCTCCTCCCCCACTGTTCCTTCCTCCCTCTCTTCTCCTCCCTCACCACTGTTCTCTCCTCCCCTCCCTGTTCCTCTCCCTCCCCTTCACCACTGTTCCTCTCCTCCCCCCTCACCACTGTTCCTCTCTCCTCCCACTGTTCCTCTCCTTCCCTCACCACTGTTTCTCTCCTCCCCCTCCCACTCCTCTCCTCCCCTCACCACTGTTCCTCTCCTTCCCCTCACCACTGTTTCTCTTCTCCCTCCCACTGTCCTCCTCCTCCCTCACCCCTGTTCCTCTCCTCCCCTCACCACTGTTCCTCTCCCCCCCTCACCACTGTGTCCCTCTCCTCCCCTCACCACTGTTCCTCCTCCTCACCCCTTCTTCACCACTGTTCTCTCCTCCCCCTCACCACTGTTCCTCTCCCTCCCCTCACCACTGTTCCTCTCCTTCCCTCACCACTGTTTCTCCTCCCTCCCACTGTCCCTCTCCCCCCTCACCACTGTTTCTCTCCTTCCTCACCCTGTCCCTCTCCTCTCTTCCCTCCTCTCCTCCCCCACCACTGTCCCTCTCCCTCCCCTCACCACTGTTCCTCTCCTCCCCCTCACCACTGTTCCTCTCCTCCCCCTCACCACTGTTCCTCTCCTCCCCCTCACCACTGTTCCTCTCCTCCCCCCTCACACTGTTCCTCTCCTCCCCTTCACCCACTGTTCCTCTCCTCCCTTCACCACTGTTCCTCTCCTCCCCTCACTCACTGTTCCTCTCCCCCTCCACCACTGTTCCTCTCCTCCCCTCACCCTGTTTCTTCCTCCCCTCACCACTGTCCCTCTCCTCCCCTCACCCTGTTTCTCTCCTTCCCTCACCACTGTCCACTGTTCCTCTCCTCCCCTTCACCACTGTTCCTCTCCTCCTTCACCACTGTTCCTCTCCTCCCCCCTCACCACTGTTCCTCCTCCCCTCCCCCCCCCTCCTCAGCTGAACATGCCCAGAGGCAAAACAAACACCAAGACACCACCAGGGCTCACCTCTCATCCTCTCCCCCCTCCTCTGGTAGGATTTCCCTTGTCCATATTCCCACCATACGCCCCAATCCCACCACTCCCGTCCTAATAGCACCCTTTCCCCTCTCTTTCTCCCTCCTGCTGCAGACTCTTACCGGGTTCTGAACTTCCTATCTCTCTCTATCTCTCCCTCCTCTGGCAGAATCCTATCTGGTTCCAGTCTTAGCTTAACATAAATAACCTGACGTCAAGACGAAGTACTAACTGGGGAAAAATGATCATACGAATGGTGGCTCATAGTTACCAGATCTGTTTCCTTATAGGAGATGTGTGTGTGTGTGTGTGTGTGTGTGTGTGTGTGTGTGTGTGTGTGTGTGTGTGTGTGTGTGTGTGTGTGTGTGTGTGTGTGTGTGTGTGTGTGTGTGTGTGTGTGTGTGTGTGTGTGTGTGTGCGTGCGTGCGTGTGTGTTATGCTTAACATTCTCGTTTTACCAAGTCAGAGGCAGGATTACTTATGAGCAGCATAAGTTCCTACAGGCACTACCTTGTTACTTACAAAGACACTGAGACATGCACACACACACACACACACGAGAGTAGTTAACCCTTTAAACACACTGGTACAAGGATAGTGGTTCTTATGGCCACTTAAGAAATAATGATACAAAGTTTTCTGCTTCTGGACACTATTCTTATACTTATAAAAGTGGCCCACTGATACTTACGGACGACATCGTGGACGCTGGCGGAGTCGTTACAGGTAAGGAAGTAGTTGTAAAAGCTGACCATCACTATCCCACCATTTAAGTGCTGCAACACAGAAGGACGATAAGTAGTTTGTGAGTGTTAGTGAGGACTGGTAGAAGGTTCATAAGACAGTATCAAGTGGGAATGAACACTTCAAAACAGACATAAACAAGTTTCACTGGTAATTATTATTCTAAAAATGTTTACATTTTCCCGATGTACATGTTAGTTATGGTTAGCATTAAGAGGAGCTACAACTGTGTCCTGGATAACTGACACAAAACGAACACCCTTCTTCTTCAGGACTCACCTGCTGCGTCTTCAAGAAACATCTATATCATTAAATACAAACCCTTCACTCTTGCACAGTATATACTGTATAGGTCAAGAGTCCCACATTTACAGTAGATAATAAGCAATAAATTGTGTTCGTATATTTTAGCATTGTTATGTAAAATTGTCTTGCGTACATCCAGCGTATCAAGGATCTCATATCATCCAATCAGCATATTCGTTACATAAGAAAATGAATAAACTGGCCCATTCACTACAAGACAACCGGTTGCCGGATACCTCCACAAGTCACCAGAAAGCGTCTCATTACTCTTTTCCGTTCTAAATATTGCTCGGTTACATCTACACATAGTTTCACCAAAATCCATTTATACTTGCTCGTTATCGCATACGAAAGCACCCACGGACACAAACACCCAGGTACCTAAGCACTCACAGATACAAGCACTCACGGAAGAAAGAACTAACGGACGAAAGGACTCGCAGACGGAAGCATTCGCGGACTAAGGCATCCTCGAGCACAAACACCCATTGATGCAAGCACTCACGGACGCAAGCACCCATGAACAGACTGCACTTTCAGGACCAGCAACATTCAGGTAGGAAGAGGCGAGAGTTGGTGTGCTGCCAAGATGACTTTGAGGTGGGCACACACACACACACACACACACACATGATCTTCCCCTCACCTGGACCAGACTCACCTCTCAGGGGACGAGGGAAGTTCTCTCTTGTCTTACAGCTGTACCTTCATGGTGATTTATGGGACATGGTTTGGAGTGACAGCTTGGAGCTTTAAAATCATGTGGGAGTAATAGAACACGCCCTAAGTAACTGCTCATGGCTGTACCTTCATGACGTCAGTGCACAGGATGACAACAAGGGTCCCATTTTAGCTTGATAAAAAATCTGCCACGTGCCATTCAACACCTCTAACCCCTTAACACTTGTTTGGGGACATAATGTTGGCACTTACTACTCATTTGGGGGGGGATATCCTACCACCACTTACCACTAGCTTAAGGATATTTTAGGACCACTTACCACTTAAGGGTTTCTTAGGATCACTCACCATTTACTTACGGACATCTCAGGACTAGTTTCCACTTAAGGATTTCTTAGGGTCACTTACCTTTTAATGATATCTTAAGAACAATCACCACTTACTTAAGGCTATCCTAACACCACTTACCACTTGTTTGAGTATATCATCGGGCACGTTGCGAGAGTGGTGACAGAGGGCGTGGGCGGAAGAATGGGAGAAGATGATAGGGGCGCGACTCACTGCCAGGGCGTCCCTCATGGTCTGCTGAGACACGTGGGACAGGTCCACCAACATCCCCAGCCGGTTCATCTCCAACACCACTTTCTGCCCCCACACACACACCAAACACAGCCGTTACTTGTGGTAGGAAGAGTGATGGACAAGGAGGGAGGGAGGTAAGGGAAGAGAGAGTGGAAGCCATGGAAAGTGGAAGAAGAGAGGGAGGGAGAGAGATCAGGGGGAAATATCCACTAGTATCACCAGCCAGTTCATCTCCCCCGTCACTATTTCGGGGGAAAGAGAGACAGATGTGCCGAGGAAGGAGATGAAATGAGAGGAGGGATCTACCTGGGTAGGGGTGTGGGGGCGGGTGTGCGGGGTGTTGTGTGTGGGGGTTGTGTGGGGGTTGGGTGTGGGGTGGTGGGGTGATGAGAGGATGGCAAAAGAAGAAAAGGTGAAAGGGAAGAACTGGGAATCATCATGAGAGGGGGATGTGATAATGACAGGGGAAAGGAGGGGATGAGAAGAACTGGGAGAGGTGAAAGAAGAGAGGTAGGAAGAAGAGGAGGAGGAGGAGGAGGAGGAGGAGGAGGAGAGGAGGGGAGGAGGAGGAGGAGGAGGAGGAGGAGGAGGAGGAGGAGGAGGAGGAGGAGGAAGGACAAAGACAATTCCTTGAAAATTTAAGAACCAAACTGAAAGAAGAAACTACAAAGAGAATATGATAAATAAATATATAAAAAGGAGAGAAAAAAAAAGAGAGGTAAAACAGAAGATGAAAAATTCAACTAAAGGATTTTTTTTTTTTTAGGGAAGGGGAAGGGGGAGGGAAGAGGGAAGGGGAGGGGAGGGGAGGGGAGGTGGAATATCTCTAACTCGTGGCATATAATGCAGCCTGAGACCAACGACGGGACGAGTCTGAATTACATACATGCAAACAGGAAAGGAAAGGCAAAATGTTGACTGTCATTAAGGACGAAGGTAGTGTGGGAGAGAGAGAGAGAGAGAGAGAGAGAGAGAGAGAGAGAGAGAGAGAGAGAGAGAGAGGGTTCATTTGCGGGCGAGGCGGAAGATTGTCAACAGAGGCAGAAGCCGAGGGGGAAATAACACGAGTCTGAGTTGGTGTTTGTTTTAAAGAGGAGGAGGAGGAGGAGGAGGAAGGAGAGAGACATATAGAAAATAAAGAATTAATAATATGACTAAGAAGGAGAAAGAGGGGGAGGAGGGGTGAAGGCAAAAGGAGGAAGAGTAGGAAGGAGGAGAATGAAGGAGATAGACAGATAATAAGGAACTAATAATAAAACTATGAACGATAAAGAAGAGGAGAAAAGAAGAGGAAAGAGGAAAAGAAGCAGAATGAGAAGGAAAGAGGAGGAAGGAGAGACCGACAGGCAGAAAATAGAAAACTAAGACTAAGAATGAGAAAGATGATTGGATAAGGATGAAAGGAGATGGGGAGAATCAGATAGGATATTCAGGAATGCTGCCGAGGTGAAGATAATTACGCAGGAGAACGAAGAATGAGAGAGAGAGAGAGAGAGAGAGAGAGAGAGAGAGAGAGAGAGAGAGAGAGAGAGAGAGAGAGAGAGAGAGAGAGAGACGGACGGTGTGAATCAGTGACGTATACAAAATAGCCTCGAAAATGACCTCATAAAATATATAACAAAATCTGGTAATGAAAATCTTACGATATACAATATAATATAATCACATTAACATAACCAAATACGTCAAATTTCAACTCTATTTTTTTCTCAATGGTTTTAATGTCATTATTATGGAAATATTACAACGTATCTAAATTATTTCAATGAAAATGTAATATATATGAAAATATTATTAAGATGAATGAATTAATGACGGATGTATTGACAAGAGACGATACTTTAAATTAAGAAAATATTGAGAAAAAACCCCACTTAATTAGTATTCAGATGATAATTTCATATAAGGTAGAAACTTTATCTAGGTGAGGGGAGAAATACTGTCTTGGTGAGGGGAGAAATACTGTCTAGGTGAAGGGAGAAATACTGTCTAGGTGAGGGAAGAAATACTGTCTAGGTGAAGGGAGAAATACTGTCTAGGTGAAGGGAGAAATATTGCCTAGATGAGATAAGAAAATGAAGTGTAGATGAGAGAAGAAATAAAGTCCAGGTGAGGGAAGGAATAAAGTCCAGGTGAGGGAAGGAATAAGTCCAGGTGAGGGAAGAAATAAAGTCCAGGTGAGAAAGAAATAAAGTCCAGGTGAGGGAAGGAATAAAGTCCAGGTGAGGGAAGGAATAAGTCCAAGAAAGAGGAAGTAATGAAACTCAAGAGAGTGAACATTGGATAAGAACGACGGTCAGAGGAAAACTTCAGAATTTAAAGTTCAGGTTCTCGAGATCTTTTAGTCGCCAGACCAGGACAAAGACATACTAGGAGACCAGGACAAAGAAATAGCAGGAGACCAGGACAGAGACATACTCGGAGACCAGGACAAAGACATACTAGGAGACCAGGACAAAGACATACTAGGAGACAATGACAAAAACATGCTAGGAGACCAGAATAAATATATGTTAGGAGACCATGACAAAGACACGTTAGGAGACCAAGACAAAGACATGTTAGGAGAACGAGATAAAGACATACTAGGAGACAAAGACATGCTTGAAAACTGAGGCAAAACATAGTAGGACACCGGGGTAAAGATTCGTTAGGAGACCACGAGAAAGTCATTCTAGGAGAGGCAATTATTCGTGAGGAATAAAACGTAATCAAGAAAAAGACTCCAGACACATTTGCAGAATATTTCTTCCTTCACGGCTTGAGCAACAAACACACAGTCAACACCTGGACATTTTCAAGAGCCGGGAAAGGAGAAATTACAGGTAGGAGAGCGAGGGATGAGGAGTGGAGTGGGTGAGAGGAAGAGTTCGGGTACAGGTGGGGGTGTGGTGAGAGAGGAGTGGATGGGGAGAGAGGAGTGGGTGGGGGAAGAGGAGGGGTTGAGGGGAGAGAGGAGGGGGTGGGAGAGAGGGGTGGGGAGAGAGGAGGGTGGGGGAGAGAGGAGTGAATGAGGAGAGAGGAATGGGTGTGGGGAGAAAGTAAGAGGAATTAATTAAGAGAGGGAAGAGAAAGTGATGGGAAAAGAGGAGGGGGTGGGGAAAGAAAAGGGGATGGGGAGAGAGGAGGAGTTGGGGAGAGAAGAAGGTCGGGGGGAGGAGGAAGAGACGACTAGAAGACACTGGAAAGACGTGAAAGTAATAGTTGGGAACAGTGGAGGAAAGACAGGCGAGTTAGAAGTTGGTAAGAAGTGTCAGTTGAAGAACAAAGAAGTTTTGTTAGCGGGAGTTAACTAAGGAGAGGTTATGATAGCAAGAGTTAAGTAAAATTAAAGGCCCATGGAATTGTAAAACTTAAACGAAAGATAAGTGTAAGTTAAAAGGGGGAAAATATAGGAAAAAGTTAATAGAAAAGATAAAAAAAAAAACATATGAAAAACGTCAAAATGCTTCAGAAGAGGAATTTTATACTGAATCGTTGCGGGAAAGCTGTCAGAGTAAGAAACCTTGGTGGGGAAAGATTAAGAGAGGGAATTATGAAAGGGAGTCAGTCTACTGATTTAGAGTCGTCAGTTGAAAAGGAAGAAAAAAGGATTATCGGGAAGTTTCACCCAAAGTTCGAGGATGTTGAGATGGGTCAGAGAAAGTTGGCAAATTAATGTGAGAGAGACCAGAAAGGTGACAGTTTCTTCTGAGGGTCGAGAAATGGTTCTGGTGTCACGAAGGAGTTGCCGGGACTGCCCAGGTGCTAGTGGTGATGATATTGTCTAGTAGAGAAACTCAGCAGTCAAGGTAGGTTCAGTCTGAGTGTTGACAGTCAAGTTAGGTTGGGGTTGAGTGTTGACAGTCAAGGTAGGTTTGAGATGAGTGTTGACAGTCAGGGTAGGTTGGAACGAGTGTTGACAGTCAAGGTAGGTTTGAGATGAGTGTTGACAGTCAAGGTAGGTTGCAACGAGTGTTGACAGTCAAGGTAGGTTTGAGATGAGTGTTGACAGTCAAGGTAGGTTGGGGTGAATAGTTGCAATCAAGGTGGGTTGGGACTGAGTGGTGACAGTCACTGTAAGTTGCGGCTGAGTGTTGATAGTCAAGGTAGGTTGGTAATGAAAATTCTGGCAATTAAGGTAGGATAAGGGTTTGAATTGAGGGCAGTCAAGGTAGCAAAGGAAAATGAAAATGACTGCAATGCCAGACATAATGACGCTACAACATTATTTGCATTTGTCTTTGCAAAATTTAAAACTTTTTTTTTTGATGATTTTTGTAATATCCACAAACACATGACATACAGTAATTAGTACTCCAAAGGGCTTCCAAAACTGGTTATGATCCTCAACAAAGCTGTTAGACTATTAGGTGTTCTCAGGCAATCGTCTGTCAAGCAACCAAAGGCTCTCAGGCAATCACCAATAGTCAAACAGACAGACGGCCCATGAAACCACCAGAAGACTACTGCATTCCCACAGGGAGCCCACCAGACTAATAGGAACTCCCAGACAATAAATCAATGGCCCAAAATAACTATCAGAACCCCCTGTGTACCCATCAAGAGCCCATCAGAAACTTGCAGGTGACCATTAGACTAAAAAAATAAATAAAAATCACAAACAAATCAAGGCCCCAAAATAACTATCGGAAAATTCTGTGTACCCATCATGACCTTTTATCAGAAGCGTACTCACCGCCCCGAAGTCGTTGAGACCGAAGTTCTCCTCGTGGTGGCCCGGTGAGTCCGCGAGAGAGGAGTCTGCCCTGCCGGCAAGGTTGTTGTGTTAATGCTTTAGTTACTGACCCTAGTGCTGTGTTGCTGACTCTAGTGCTGTGTTACTGACCCTAGTGCTGTGTTACTGACCCTCGTGCTATGTTATTGACGCTAGTGCTGTGTTACTGACCCCAGTGATGTGTTACTGACGCTAGTGCTGTGTTACTGACGCTAGTGCTGTGTTACTGACCCCAGTGCTGTGTTACTGACCCTAGTGCTGTGTTGCTGACCCTAGTACTGTATTACTGACCCTAGTGTTGAGTTACTAACCCTAGTGCTGTGTTACTGATTCTAGTGCTCTGTTAATGACCCTAGTGCTGCTACCTAGTGCTGTTTACTGCTGTGTTACTGACCTATGTTACTGACCCCAGTGCTGTGTTACTGACCTAGTGCTGTGTTACTGACCCTCGTGCTATTACTGACGCTAGTGCTGTGTTACTGACCCCAGTGCTGTGTTGCGACCCTAGTGCTGTGTTACTGACCCTCGTGCTGTGTTACTGACCCTCGTGCTATGTTACGACTGACCTAGTGCTGTGTTACTGACCCTCGTGCTGTGTTTACTGCCCTCGTGCTATGTTAACCTAGTGCTGTATTGAACCCCAGTGCTGTGTTACTGACCTAGTACTACTTACTGACCTAGTGTTGAGTTTACTAACCCTGTGTTAACATGTTACTGACCTGTACTGTATTACTGACCTAGTGTTGTTACACCCCAGTGCTGTGTTACTGACCCTAATTAACTGACCTAGTTGTGTTGCTGACCCTAGTACATTACTGACCCTAGTGTTGAGTTACTAACCCTAGTGCTGTGTTACTGATTCTAGTGCTGTGTAACTGATCCCAGTGCTGTGATATGACCCCAGTGCTCTGTTACTGACCCTAGTGCTGTGTTGCTGACTCTAGTGCTGTGTTACTGACCCTCGTGCTATGTACTGACCCCAGTGCTGTGTACTGACCTAATCTGTGTTGCTGCCCAGTACTGTACCCTAGTACTGTGTGAGCCTAGTGTTGAGTTACTAACCTAGTGCTGTGTTACTGATTCTAGTGCTGTGTAACTGATCCCAGTGCTGTGACCCCAGTGCTCTGTTAATGACCTAGTGCTGCAGTACTGTCCCTAATGCTGTCATACTAACCTAGTGCTGTGTTATTGATCTGTGCTGTAACTGGCCAGAGTGCTGTGTTAAAAACCTAGTGCTGTGTTACTGACCCGAGTGCTGTGTTAAAACCCTAGTGCTGTGTTACTGACCCTAGTGCTGTGTTACTGACCCTAGTGCTGTGTTACTCACCCTAGTGCTGTGTTACTCACCCTAGTGCTGTGTTACTCACCCTAGTGCTGTGTTACTCACCCTAGTGCTGTGTTACTCACCCTAGTACTTTGTTAATTTTCCTGTCTGTTAAGGTACTTGGTTATTACATTTCTTGTACATGTATATTAAGAGATTTGGTTTGTCAGTTTGTTAATAAATAATTTACACTGTAGTTATTGATCTAGCTTGTCATTTTGTTAGAATATTAGTAAACCTGTTAAAAAATATAACGAGTTAGTGAATCAGCTTGTTTAGTTGTTTGCATATTATTTAAGTGGATGACCCGGTGATTGATTACATTGTTTATTAGTGAAGTAGTTGTTGTATTTGATAATTGATTAGTTACTTTACTACAGTGTAAATGTCAATGTCAATATCAATATCAAAGTCACAATCCGAAGATAATGTCAGTTTCATAGTAAAACCTAAGTACTGTACACCTTTTCACATATCCGTTGAGACAGTATTACATAACTATTTGACAAATTTCATAACCGAATGACAGAACACATATCGAATGACAATCTAAAATAACTGTTCGTTCATGCTAACGGAAGTGATTGACATAAGTTATGAAGTTGACAGACGTGAACAATAAACCGACAATCTACATATAGTTTGAGAATGTAACAATTGGAGAATGACATACCACCAACAGTTATTTTAGATTGTCATTCGATATGTGTTCTGTCATTCGGTTATGAAATTTGTCAAATAGTTATGTAACAATGTCTCAACGGATATGTGAAAAGGTGTATTGGTCACTTCATATACAGTACGTCAACTGATCAACACACTGTAGGGTATGAGTCAGCTGGAAGGAAAACGCCTGAGTGTGTGTTAGCTCAGGTCAGTTGCATCTACGTGTCCTACTGCACGTGAGGCCGACCACCTGGAGTTGTTACGTCACTGATGGATTGTTAGGTCACTGATGGATTGTTAGGTCACTGATGGATTGTTAGGACACTGATGGATTGTTACGGCACTGATGGATTATTAGGTCACTGGTGGATTGTTAGGTCACTGATGGATTGTTACGTCACTGATGGATTGTTAGGTTACTGATGGATTGTTAGGTCACTAATGGATTGTTACGGCACTGATGGATTGTTAGGTCACTGATGGATTGTTAGGTCACTGATGGATTGTTAGGTCACTGGTGGATTGTTAGGTCACTGATGGATTGTTAGGTCACTGATGGATTGTTAGGTTACTGATGGATTGTTACGTCACTGATGGATTGTTACGTCACTGGTGGATTGTTAGGTGCATTGGGTTTGCTACGTCACTGATGGATTGTTGCGTCACTGATGGATTGTTAAGTCAATGATTGATCTTTACGTCACTGATGTATTTATTACATCACAGGTGAACTTGTTACATCACAGGTGAGACTTTGTTGCATCTGGAGTGGACTTGTTGCATCACAGGTGGACTTGTTACATCTGGGTGGACTTGTTACATCACAGGTGGACTTGTTACATCACAAGGTGGACTTGTTATCACAGGTGGACTTGTTACATCACAGGTGGACTTGTTACATCACAGGTGGACTTGTTACATCACTGTTGGACTTGTTACATCACAGGTGGACTTGTTACATCACAGGTGGACTTGTTACATCACAGGTGGACTTGTTACATCACAGGTGGACTTGTTACATCACAGGTGGACTTGTTACATCACTGTTGGACTTTTTACATCACAGGTGGACTTGATACAGCATAGGTGGACTTGTTACATCACTGTTGGACTTGTTACATTACTGGTGGTCTTGTCACGTACAACAGACAACGGGCAACAGCTAACAGACAATACGCAACAGACAGCAGACAACTGACAACAGGCAAAAGACCAAGCAACAGACATGAGGCAACAGACACCAACAGACAACAGACACCATACGACAGACAACAGACCAAACAACAGACAACAGATACCAAGCAACAGACAACAGACCAAATAACAGACAACAAACAACACACAACAGACACCAGCCAATAGACACCAGAGAACAGACACCAGGCAACAGACAACACACAACAGACACCAGATAGCAAACACCAGACAACAGATAACAGACACCAGGCAACAGACAACATACACCAGACAACTCACAACAGGCACCAGATAACAGACACCAGACAACTTACAACAGGCACCAGATAACAGACACCAGACAACACACCCAACGAACTTTTGTGAAAGCCAGACACCGAACAGACTTGGCCAATAGACACCGACAACAGACACCCGAAGACAACAGACACCCGACAACAGACACCCAGGCAACAGACGCAGGCAACAGACAACACAACAGACGCAGATAGCAAACACCGAACAACAGATAACAGACGCAGGCAACAGACAACATACGCAGACAACTCACAACAGGCACCAGATAACAGACGCAGACAACTTACAACAGACGCAGACCGCTGAACGCAGACAACAGACACCAGGCAACAGACACCAGGCAGCAGACACCAGACAGCAGACATCGAACCAGCAGACGCAAGCAGACAACTTACAACAGACACCAGACAACAGACACCAGACAACAGACACCAGGCAACAGACACCAGGCAACAGACACCAGGACAACAGACATCAGGCAACAGACACCAAGCAACAAGACACCAGGCAACAGACAACTTAGGAAGCTCCATGCCAGGCAGCAGACAAACAGACAACAGACACCGCCTACACCAGGCAACAGACACCAGGCAACAGACAACATAGGCCTACACCAGGCAACAGACACCAGGCAACAGACAACATAGGCCTACACCAGGCAACAGACACCAGGCAACAGACAACATAGGCCTACACCAGGCAACAGGCATCAGGCAGCATGTATTAGCCCCTGTCTAATAAACAGCAGTACTTATAAAAATATGGGTTAATACATCAGTTTTTTATTATTCCATCTCCCCGGTAAGTGATCATCTATTGGACATGTGATCAGTATTTTCCCACTGACAAGTCTCGTCTCTAAGATGCTAGACTAAGTAGTTAGGGTAGCCGCTCCTGGACAGTTATCACTCAACCCTCACAAACCATAGACGTTGACTCATAAAGCTATCCCAGATAAGCTTACCGTCTATTTCCTAACACTCACAGAATATATGGAGAAAAGATCATTTGGGTTTTGCAACCTTAACCCAAGAACATTTTTATATGTACCTAAGTTATCTGTCATCAGTCAAGCTCAGGTGACCGGAAACGGCTACACGCAGACACCAGCCAACAGACACCAGACAACAGACACCAGAGACCAGACAATGGACACCAGACAACAGAGACCAGACAACAGACATCATAGACCTACAGGGGACACCAGGTAACAGGCGCCTGTAATATATAACATAGGCCTGTACCGGACATCAGGCAACAGAGAAGAGGAGTAGGAAGAGAAGAAGTGAAAAAGTGAACAAAGAAGAAGACAGAGAGGGAAAAAGAGAAAAGAACCCAACTGATAGCAAGGGGTGTAACTCTCTCTCTCTCTCTCTCTCTCTCTCTCTCTCTCTCTCTCTCTCTCTCTCTCAACTAAATCAATAGCACCTACGCTCTCCGGATAAGGTTAACGGAATCTTTGCTGAGGTGTGATACTATGTGATCGTATTTAGGATTAGCCACGTGAGGAGATTATTTATTTGTCTAACTTACAGTCTAAACCGGGA